TGCTATTTCCAGAGAGTCTCCTGACACCGTATCTAATTTCCAAAATGAATATGCTTTAATTTTCCTTCTTCATGCATTGTGCTTTTTCCTCATTTAAAACAGCAACAGCCTCTGGCAGTAAAGGACATCACATTTCTGTGCGAGATGAAGCTTTTTTTCCCCCGATATGCAGGAGAATGGCATGGGTCAAGGGAGAAAAAATGTATGCAAAAAACATCACACCCCACTGACCCCAGTATATTTTACATTACAATTTTGCCATTTCCAATATAGGTTCATTTTGCAGTGGACCATATCAGCCATATTTCAGGATTTACACAAAAAAAAAAAAAAATCAGTACCTGGAGCATTGTCTGCATACGATATGTCCTAATGCAATATATGGATTGTCTTATTAATGTGTAGTGTAGCTTGCAGAGAACACACAGGCATGCAGGGAATACTTATGCATGCCAGGGAGGCAGCACAGGTGTACCTATTGGGAACAGGCCTATACATTCAATTATCTCTGCAGGTAATACACAAGTGCATTTTTATGTCTTAAAACCCAGCCTGCTCCACCCCTGAAATCGGTGGAGTTTGCCACATAAGCCTTTCTCCCCTGAGCCTTAAAGTCCCCAAAATGGAGCACCTGACACAGGTTCAAGCCATTTAAGCTGAGGTTGCCATGCTTTCAGTGGGCAGCAAAAGGAGCTTTATCCCCTGGCAGACACTGAAAGGCTGTCTTCCACCTCTAGCACAGGTAGAGATGATTAATTAATCCAGAGCCTGATTGGAAGGGCCTGGAAGGTTCTGGTAGCTTCTCGGGACTTCACTGCCACCCTTTACCCCTGAGGGTTTAAACGAGGGCCAGCTGTGCCTTGTTAACACTGACGAGGTTCTCTGAAACTCTTGCAGTGAAAAATAAAGATGCACCTTTTGTTCTCCCAACCCTCCTCGGAGACCAGGGAAAGGATGAAGTGGAAGCTTGGGGCAATCCCCGTTTTAACCACGGGGTAAAATCCGCAGACTCAACAGGAGCAATGCCTGACTAAAGCCTGTAACAATTCTGACTTCATGTACTGCAAAGACCATAATGCTCACAGAACTGGCACACCTGACCATTACAAACAAAATCATCATCCGCTATTTTGACAGAAAATCAAAGAAGTCTGACTTAAGAAGTACCAATTCCCATAAAATCTTGCTGCTCTCTCCAGATGATCAGCTAGGGCAAATGCTCACAAGAGAGGCAATACATGTACACAGGTGTCTAAAGGTTAAACATGCCAACAAAGCAGAATTATGGAATGGGGGATAAATACAGAGAGAGGAGGGCTTAAAAGAAAATTAAAGGAAAAATAATCAAGATCTCACCAGAGAAAGACAAAATCATCATTTTTCACATCAAGAAGCTACTCCCCCTTGCAACTGCCATAGAAAGGAGCAACTTCAGGCCCAACAATCATCAAACTTTCTCTGTTTATCACCTCAAAAACCCCTGAAGCTCTGCCACACTGCAATGCTGTAAGACTTTAAGAATAATAGAAAGACTTACATGAAGCTCAGGATGGCCCAGGACAAGGAGATCCATGTGGCTGGATGGAGCTGCTCTGAGGGAATGTGGAGCAGCACACAGTAAAGCTGCCTGCACCAGGAGCAAACTGAAGCTCAAACTATGGTGGAAACAGCTCCACAGGTGTTTGGGATACATTAATTAACTCCCTTTAGCTCATTGGCTGTAATAACTCCACACCTGCCAGGAGCCCTGACTCAGCTGACCCTAATTTCTGGTGTAGATCTCCTTCTGGGGTAGATAAAGCTGCTCTAGGTAAAAGTCCTGGCTAGGGCACTAATGAAAAAATTTCCTTTAACAGGAGGTAGCTGGAAGATTCCAGGGACAGAGGTGGAGACAGCCTGCTGAAAATGGCCCTAAATGTAATTGCAAGAGCAGCACTTTTTTTTGGTGTTATTTTAAGTAGAAAGGGTAAAACATGCAATATTTTCTTCAGCTGTTAGCTCTCCTAAATGTCACGGAGAAGCATCCTGTTGCCTGGCAAGTTGTGGACTCGGAGCTCAACAGGTTTGCTTGCTTATTGTCAGCATTTACCTGAACTGGTTTTTAATAAAAGCCTTTGAAGAAAGAAAATCTCCTGCCTGAGACGAGGCGTTGGGAGCCTGAGTGGAGGCCCCTGAGAGTTGCTGAGCTACTTAGTGGCAGTCAGTTGCATCCCTGATATATCCCATTCCTTCATAATTGCAAATCCCCTCGGTGCTGCTCTGCACAGGACCAGTTCTTCTGTCAGTGGTTATTGGATGGGAACTGATGCTGGTGTTTACACATCTACAGTCTCAAGAATTTCAGTATCTCTCTGGCAAACATTGCTGTGTTTCAAGCGGCCAATTTGAACAAGCTGGATGTGGCTGAGGGCAGGACTTGGTCCTTTCCATATTCATCTAGGGCTTTGAACTTCTCAAAACAAACCTTAGTTTCATAAAATAATAATAATAATAATCATAATAATAATAATGTTCCCTTTGGCTTCAGAGCACTAGTTCCATCAAAGTACCGACTATTGAAAGTTCAACTGCTAATGGCAAGCTATTTTGAAAAGAGAAAAGTCTGGAGGCAAATTATGAGGGAAAGAATAGATATTAATCATTTTTGAAGTCATTCTGTCTCGGGCATTATTTTCCTTTCTTTCATTATTCGTGATGAGTTTTTTGCTTCAAGGCCAAGTGAATTCACAGGGCCTGACCCATCCAAACACAACCACGACTGTCTGAACAATGCGGCCCAGCCGAGCCTATAGATAAAAAAGAGCCCAAATGGAAAGAAAGAAGGAAAAATGATAATTTTAAACAATGTATCTAAACAAATATGTGAAAGTATGACCCTTCTTCTGAATAGTTCATTTCCCAGTACTCTGCCCCACTGTGTTGCCATCCTGGTGGGGGAACTGGGGAATGGGAATCCCAACAGCAACCCATTTCATTTGCTGTTTCTCTCACCCCACCTCCCTGATCTCTAAAGCCACCTGGGTGATGTCAAGCCTCCTTCAGTAAAGGGAAGGCCTCTTACTTTTTCTCTTTCAGCTTAATCCCACAGCTAATGGAAACTCAGTAGTTTCACTCGTACCTTGGGTGACCTGCCCAGCCCTTTGCTGCTGCAGGGCACGAGCACACACTGTGAAGTGAACCTGGAGCCATTTGCAGCTCTCTCTGCTGAGAAATTGAAGAGCTTGGAGGAAAAAAATCTTAATTCAGGAGAGGGCTTTTTCCCCAAAACTCCCTCGGGAGAGGTTTTCCCATGTTGGGTATGCAAAGCACCAGGACTGCTGCATTAGGACACAGATGGACACCGTGTTTGTGGCAACTTCCTCTTGAAAGAAGCTGTCAGAGTAGAAGCAATGACAATTCCCAGACCTGTCTTCCCCCCCCTCCAGTAATTCTCAGCATGCCCAAGTAGCCCCATCTTCGTATGCTGCCAAAATAAAATGGCAGTTCAAGGTTCCCTTTGCTTCAGGGGAAAAATGACCTAACGAAGTTACTTTGGTATATTTACATTTGTAACCACATTCCCTGTAAGACAAGAGCTTGCAATGAAATATCTTTGGCAACCTTGAAGGCAACCAATGTGCTTTGCCTACTCTGAAACAAACTCAGCAACATGAATCCTCTCTCAGAGCCCACAGATGTGTGCATCTGCAGAAGATGCTGCTAATAATTAATAGAATTGTACAACCCCCTTGATATATAAATACACAGACAGAGCCTCACATTTTGCCTGCTTCTCTCTAACAAATACCCAAACTGAAACAAATTTAACAAGATACATTACACAAGTCTGCAGACAGAAGTTGTATGAAAATTTTAACTCTCTTCAGCAAGAAAGCACTTCTATTTCCAGTAACGCTGGCAGCATATACTGTAGCTAGGCAGCCGCATTTATTTTCAATTATCATTTTTGCCTTTTTATACAGCATAATGAAATGCCTGGTAAATTATACATTTTTGTAAAACACAAACTTGTCTCTTTATTTGCAGCTCAAGTCTTGCAGTATCGTTTTGTCTGCATTAGTTCTAGCGCTTTATGAGAGGCCAATTACTTTTCTTAGCTGTAATATGCAGAGCGTGGTATCTCACTCTTCAGTCCTGGCTGAGACACAGCCTGCTGCAAAATGACCATGTCTAAGGCTCAAACCTTCGGAGAAAAGGTGGGAAAATTCCCAGCACCCTGCTTGCCAAAGCATCACCCATAAATCGTTTGCTTCAGTTTCGATACCTAAGATTTTCAACTCACCCCCTGCTAAAGAAAAGCATATTTTTTAGGGGCTGGGGGGGGGAAATGTGTGGAGCTGCTTCCCCCAGTCTCCCTTTAGAAAGATGCTCTCATGGCAGATGGATCTCAATATGCCGTCTCCCAAATCTTAAGCAACTCTGAGAATATAAAGTTCACTTATACCAATGGGCCATATATATCTACACCTCTCGATTCGCTGTCTCTTTAACTGGCACTTTGAACTAGTGAACACCTCTTTAATCTTGCCCCATTATCATCCTAATAGTACCTCCCGATATTCATAAATGTCTAGCAAGACTTTCAGCTATTTGGTATGAAGAAGAAATATCCAGCTAAATTGAGAAGATTACCACATCACCACATAAATCAGTGACAGGCCGCGTGTTATTACAGTTGATTTTTGTTGACAGTTGGCTGTAGGCAGTTGTGTTTCAAATGCCTTTTTTCACTGGGAAATTAAACAAAATTCCATGCAAAATGCAGCCCTCCAGTTCAAAAACTGCAAATCCAAAATTAGCATTTCATACTTTAAAAGGTAGCACAGCACAATTTTCCATTGAAAGGTCTGTACAGTTGTCACAAATGGGTGCTTCACACATGACACTAATGCTACCGATGCCTTTTAAGAAAGCCACCTTTCTCTGATATTATTTTCTTCCCCTAATAATCTGCATACACTATAGTTCATCCCTACGGAAAAGAAAGAGAGCTCACTTACTTATCTCTCATATGGGAGCATTATGCTTTCAGCAATTCAGACAGATAGGCTGGGTGGGAGGGGGGTGGGTTGCCGAATCCTCCACGATAAGAGGGAACGAATCGTGGCCAGCGAAAGGTTAATCTCCCCTCTCCAAGTCCCTCCTTCCGTGTCAGCATAACCTGGAGAGCAAAGAAAATGCGAGACTTAACAGAGTGAAAAGACACACCGGCACAAAACACTGTTCCTGCTGGAGCATGTAGCACTTCGCACACAGGGCCACGCGTGACCTAATTAACAAAAAGCCGTTGCTACAAAGTCAGGAAAGCAGCTTGGGTGACACCAGAGAGGACCAGAACTTGCGAAGGAGTGTCTGCTTCCAGCAGCTGCTGATCTGCCAGTTTTTGGCTCGGATATTGCCCGCTGCTAAGCCAATTTTTTAGGGACTCTGGTGTCAGCAAGTTGATCAGGCAGCAGTAGTTGAGACGGAGTGCCTTCCCCTTCTCAAGACAGATCCCAGGGGCATTGGCTTTGTCTTGGACAATAGCTTGGAAAACATCACCACCACAAGGAGTTTACATTTTTGGATACAGATATATATATAGAGAGAGAGAGATCTATATAGATAGAGAGATATATGTAACATAGTGAATTGAAGCAATGCTCTGCTTTCTCCTGGGCACAGGGACAGACATATAATGCAGTTTGTCAGCCAAAAGATGTTACATGTGTTATCGTGCAAATACTTTGCTGGCAGCTAACTGGCTTCTGGCCACACAGTCCAACATCCTCCGGCCAGAACCACTGGGTTGAAAACCAGATCACCAGCCAGTTGCAATCTGATTCATCTTTCCCTGGTGTTCAAGGGCAGAGGCATGAGGACACAGGGATGATGACCCATGTGAAGGATCACCCTTTCTCCCAGCCCTGTCCTCAGAGAGGAGCTAAGGAGGGAGAGTCCACTTAAGTGACCTCTGAGCTGAGTAATCCCACCGCTTGTAACTGAGAGGAAAATACGTTCATAGTAGCCAGTGCTCATAAAACTAAGTATTTCAGTCAATATTGAAATGGTTTAATCTGAATTCACCATCAGGCATTTCAAACAGCTGTCTTGCTCTCATTTGCTCATGGTTGGGTCAAGGTTTAGTTTTTACAGCATGTGCCAAACCTTTCCCTGGTGTAACTCTGCTGACAGAACCAGACAAGATGTCCAAGGGAGCCTGGCCCCAGTCATCCATGGTGTGTCACCCATGCAAAAAAAAGCTCTTGACACTCTGCAAGTGGCTGGATTTGCACCTGATTACAGGTAAAGACTAAATTAATGGAGTCAAATAATCACAGTGAGATACTGGTTGCTTACCAGTTGCCCCGCTGGGGAAAAAGTACAAGGCCAAGAAGGATGGAAAATGGAAGCACAAGAGAAAACAGAGAATACGATGGATCAATCCTGTATTGCCTGTTGAGGAGAGGTTGGAAACAGGACAAAGCTTTGCTGTTGAGTGAGCTGCATCCTATAGAGAGTGATCGAATGATCTAAGGTAGCACTTGTACAACACTGGAAATATTTATACTTAAGATCTGTAGGGAATATAATAAAAGGGATTATGCCACTAACATCTCCTCTTCTAACTCTATTTAATATCTTAGTATCTCATTCCCAGTGAATATATTTTGCAAATTTTCGAAACACACAAGAGGGACCAGCTCCTTGGGAAAACCAGACAGTGAGGAGGCACAGACCAAACTGGCAGCATGAAAGAGCGTGGTCCAAGGGGAAAACAATTTCCCCACCAGAAAATGCCCAACAAAAAGCAAAGCAGCAAAAACAAAGGCAGGTTTTAAGTACAAAGCTGCCCATTCCGATAAAGATGGGAACCACAGTGCATGGTCACTGGGGAGAAGAGACTGAGCTGAACGAGACAGCATTGCCAAGGATAACGCTTGAAACAATGTTTGACAAGGACTGCAACTACAGGCAGAAGGTGGCTCAGTTTGTATACATAGACAGGTATTTTGTGTCACATGAACTCCTGAGAAGTGTGGTAGCTACCTGTGCCTTCAGAGGTGAGACAGGTTGCTCACTCCATGGTACCAGAGAGCCTTCTTCCGGGTCCATGCTCTTGCAAGGAGAACACGGAAGGGCTGATGGAGAGGACAGAGAGTTGGGAGCACGTGTGCATCCTCACCTGAACTAGAGGAAAGCATCACAGGTGTTAGGGCTGACAAAGAACACACAAGGGCTTTGCTTGGGGAGGAACCCAGTGGCAAAGCCCAGCTGTGGCAAAGCTGATGTTGTGCCAAGGCATCCCACTGCATCAAACAGCCTGGCAAAACAAGTCAGCAAATTCACCTAAAGAACACATCAACAGCAGAAATTATCTTTAAATGGAGAAGATGGGGTGGTGGTTGGAGCAGGTGAAGGAAAGGAAGTGTGGGGATCCTGACCAATAGTCACAGCAGAGTAGGTCTCTCCAAAGAGCCTGTGCAGCTTTGGAAATGGAAAGACTTCTTGTGCTGTTCCTTGACATGCAGTTCTTGAAAACATTTGTCTCTTCAAAATTTCTGGGTTTTGACCTTCACAGCTCTGGGAACAGAATGCCTTCTCATGCTGTTCCCTGACATGCAGTTCTTTGAAACATTTGTATCTCCAAAACTTCTGGTTTTGGCATCCCTACGGACACTGTGTAAAGGGGAGAGCCACCGGGTTTCTTGTTTCAGTGCATGTAATGGGTGCAAGTCATCCCTCCACTCATCTGGCATCATTTTCTGCACAGCCCAGGTGATTGCATCCAACAGTAATTTTTGTACCAAACCCAGTAAGATGCGATGAAGTCCCAGTGCTTGTTTCACAGAGACATCCGGCTTCGACTGAAAGATCACACTCAGCTTTGGATCATAAGCCTGGGGATGTCATAAGAACAAGTCAATTATTCCACAAATGAAGGGAAATACTTTGCAAATTTTAGCTGAACTAAGTAAAGAAGAGAAACAAATCTGTAAACCATCAAATGGTGCGTCTGTTTATAATTATTATCATACAAGAAATATTATGTTAGTTGAGCAACATAATTTTTTGTGTGTTTTGGGATTTCCTACTTAGCATCTTTTTGCCTACAGATCTATATCTCCAGAGCAGATAATTTTTTTTTCCTGATGCTTCATATAAATGCCTCCTGACAGGAAATTTTTCCTTTCAAAGCACAGTACCTGTGGCTGTGTTTGGAAAACGCAGTTCAAATACTATACTTTGTTCTTACAAGTTGTGAGTAATATCCAGGCTCGTTTACGTGGCGAGAGCTGTGCTCGTGATGGGAATCTTGGAATAATGTCAGGTGGCCGTCGCTCACAGGTCTCAGGCTCTCCTGACTCCAGGCTCATCCATATTAGCAGCTGAAGCTGCATTAACTGCTGGCCAAATAACAGAGGTATGGAGGCTTAATGCACTGTCTCCAGCTGAGGTGCCCAGCAAACTCTTCGGGGAAAAAATAAATTTATAAAATATCCTAAGGGATATGTGAGAATTGGAGCTGAAATTTAGTATTTTCCAACTGCTCTCACCCTTCCTCCTGGGACTACCGCTGATCTTTGATCACTTCCCTCATTTACAAACGCTGTCATCTCACCATTCTCCTTCTACTCCATATCATTAATACAAATCTGGAAACAATGGCTTTCTCACTGCTAAAACATTGCAACATCCCACTATTTGTTTCCTCTTCTAAAACGGATCATTCATTATAACCCATATCCCCCAAAGAATTTTATCACTTGAAACCTGTTTGCAGTGAATCTAAAGTAGCCGGAAAATCATCTCCTCAGAAATTCCTGCGTACGCTGGAGCCGACTTCTCCTGGAAGCCCAATAAAGTGCCGAGTCCCTCTGCAGGCAATATCCATTTTTCTTCCTTCTGATACAGTCTCCAGCAGTAACCCCTGCAGCTGTGCACGATCCATTTTTTTTTTTTCTGCTGCTGCTGAAATTCACTGCTCAGCCACGTTAGCTCTTGTACCCACTTCATCCCGGAGAGTTGCGATAATTGCCTCCTTGCTTCACCGTTCCACCACCTCCATGCTTATCGCAGAGGTCAGCTTTTCTTTTATCTCTCCTATAACCAACTCGTTATTTGCTGCTTTCTCTTGCAAGGGACAGGCTGCTGCTCCCTGACTCCTGCCCCACTCCACTTTTCCTTGTGTTTGCAGTGCACCTGGTTTGAATATTTCTTCCCGAAAGGACATTTCTACCTCTCAGCATTTGAATGTAGTATTTTACTTTGTTGTCCATCATCCCCAGCAGCAGCAGAGGTTTGGGTGAACACCGACCTGTGTGATGGAGTTTCACCAAAATACTTACACCTGTGGTTCAGGAACTTTCCCAAAAGATCTGGGAAGCAATGAGGATCATGAAGGGGTTTTGTAACAAACTAAACAGTTGTAACGTGCCCACTGCATTTTAATTCCAGAAGGTTATGCAACCTAGTAGTGTTAAAATATGTTAAAAGTGAGGCTTGGGACCCAAATTACCAAAATGCTGCTGGAAAAGAAATGCTGAATATAAAACAAAATAATGCAGAAAATGTTCTGTGCTGCTAAGGGTAAAAGCAGCTATGGCTATGCAATATTTACCATCAGGGAAACTCAGACCAATGCTCCCTTTGAACTACTCACAGTAAAGAAAAAACGCCAGTGCCAGTACGTGCATGGGTGAAAATTTAAAGTGCATGAAAGGGCAACCATCCCTCACTGTTTTACAAGTCCCCAAACTATCTAAACTGTTGGAGCCACTTAAAAAAAAAGATGCAGATGATCAAACTCTGGGCTAACCCACAGAACTGAGGAGGACTTTTCCTTGGGACACACAGTTTTTTGAAATAACAGCAAATTCTGGACAACTGAGGCATGGGTAATAAGGTCTGGGAAGCGCAGGCAGAATCAGGGTTGCTAAAATCAGCCTTGAAGTGTCACTCACAAATTGTCACCAAAGCACTGTGAGAGGAGCGCAGACAGGGCAACTTTTGCAGAGATACTAATGACACTCATACTTCCAGGGACTTTCAGAGAATATTTTGTGCTTGTTTCCCTGTTTGAAAACATGCCTCTCCATGTAACACGAGAGGTCTTCACATTTTTAAATAACACATCCACTCATGTAAAATATCTCCTCCACTGCTCCATGGAGCAGCAGTGATGCTGTCTGGAAATACAGGCATTTTCTGGAAATACAGGTGTCTCCAGCTTTTCAATCCATGCCAGCTCAATGCAGCTGAACTTCTAATCAATGATAACTCATTGTAATATTGAGAACAACACTGACCATGCACACATGCATAAAACCCCCAATTCTTCTCTGTGCTTAATGCCATCATGAAGTCCACACAAACCAGGAGGTCACACACTCAGCACATCAGGACAGAGCACTATGGCTTTATCCTGAGGCCACCAGAACAGCAGAAGAGGGAGAGTCTAGTCCCACATCTGCCACCTGCCAGCCCAGCAACCCTGAGTCACTTTACTTCCTTTTTCCCCTCCACCATTGTCTATTTAAATCTGAATCTCTGTGAGACAGCAAATGTTTTTCTTCAATGGGGTGTGCACAGTTCCTGCCATGGTGGGACTCGTGTCTCAGCTGGGACCTTGAGGTACTGGGGCAAGAAATCAAGCAGAAAGAGCAGGTGAGAAGCAGCATCTCTTGACCTCAGCAGAAATCTGATTTCAGAGGTGGCTTGTTTTAACCAAAGACAGCAAAATACACTTGGGTATCATTCAACTTTGCGCATTACTTGCTACCTTTGTTTCTTTAGATGAGTGAAAGGCAGCCTGTGCTACCACGGTGGAGAATTTAAGTTTTGCAAATTACTCTGTTTCTTTGTCCCAGAGACCAAGCTGGGGGCCACCTTTTCATGAAAGGTCCGTGAGTGTGCCAGCCACCTCTCACTTCTCATTTTGCTTTCAGAAAACAAACCAAAGGCCATGAGATGCCACACAGCGTTAAGGCACAGAGTCTCCTGAGCCCGGTGGGACCTCGACCACTGCCATTTGAGTAGCAGACAGACACCAAAAACATCTGCAGAGCTACTGGGGCGTGTGGTGGCCACTCCACATCCGACACCTGCAATGCGGGGCCCGGTGGAAAGCCCCGTGGCCAGATCAAAAGCAGGGCTAGCAGTCTCAGCAGCAGGTCTGCTGACACGTCACGTCCCAGCATGGAGGGGACGTTCAGGGCCAGCTCTCAGGGACAAAACACTCCAAGCACAAACATCTCCACAGGGCAACTGGTGCCAATGCAGCGTAAACTGCCCCGGTGGCAGCAGGGATGTGACACCGTTGGTTCTTGCAGGCAGAGACACCATCCATGTGCCCAGAGCCAGAACACGACCCACCAAGCTGCTGCCTGTGCCTGGGGACAGCTGAGCCCCAGCCTGGTCAGGATGCTCCCCCGTCCTAGGAGGAGCTTTTTCCTCCTGCACCTCCTATAACCCACGTTTAGGAGCACCACCATTGCACTTAATGCATTTGCAAGTAATGGCTGAATTACTATTTTCCACTTCACAAGAGTGGGCATGAGGAAGCCCCACTTCTCCTTCATGTACTTGTTACTTTGTACCTGTTTCTGCCTCCCAAACATATTGGTGTTGCTTGTCGTGGCTGTCCCTGCGGATGTGGGCAGGGCGTGTGTTCAGCTTCTCATCTGAAACATTTGCATGAGTGGCCGGTTTCCTCTCCCCCCCACCGGGGACAGGAGTATCTTTCTCTCACTTCTCTATTTCATCGTGATCTATACAAGTAAGTTCAAAAGGGCAGGACGAGGGTCTGACATCCTGATGCTTTGACTCACCCCCGTGAAAAGTTACTGGCGTCAGTACAGCTGAAGCTGCTTGTTTCCCCTCCAGCCTCTTTAATTTCTGTTCCTTTGCCACATATCAACAAGCTTTTACATTCCCTTGCTAACTACTTTGTTTCTCACACTCACAAAAAAGCGTACACATGCCTATACATACTTATACACACTCAAACATACACCTACACACCCATACAGGCCATTTAGCAGTTAACTTTGGAATACAATTTGATTTATCTACTCAAGATACGTGGAGGTTGTGGCCTTCAGCCTGATTGGCTTTTAAAAAGCTAGCAATGATAGATATTGTAATAGTTTTTACCAGATTAACATAAAGATTTTGGTACTGAGGAGTTTTTTCTTTCTTTTTCTTTTGTGCCAAAGACCATGGTTTGCACTCTGCATTTTTTAGCCCAGTAAAAGTCGTGTTATGCATGGTACCTTAAATTCCCCATTCTCCAGCCCAGAGCAATCTGTCTCTGTGTGTCACACTCCCAGTCTCCCCGTCTGAGTACCTATAAAGGGAGTGCCAAATAAAATGTTGTGAACGCTGCTCTCGCTCACTAAAACTTTGTTGAATTTGCCTAGTTTTACACCTATTACAGCTCAAAGACTGTTTGCTTCTCCCCTGCAGGGTTGTGGAAGCAGCAAAAGTAGTGGGGAAGGAAAATCTTCAGACCAGCTCACTGGTTTCTCCCTTTAAACTGCCGAACAGAAGGATTGAAGTCTCGAAGTTTTATTTTTCTCTGGGTTTTTTTTATGACTGGCTGCCACAACTAAAAATGCCTCATTCTGTATCAGCAGCTTTAGTCACGCTGATAATTCAGATTTCCAGGCAAGATGATCCTTCCTTATGGTTTTCCTCTAACAACAAGAGTTCAGATAATTTTAATCTAACAATTGACTTCATTCTTTCGTTTGAATTTTCCTTTTCCCCAAATGACAGAAAAAAAAAAAAAAGGGGGGGAAAAAAAAAAAAAGAAACACAATTTTTATTGCATGGAAAATGCCTGAGGGGAATGAACTAAATTCAGCACTAACTTGCAAAGGCATATTTTAAAGTTGCAAAATCAGAGCACAATTTGGCCCAATATTCTGTTTCGGCGTTTGGCTCAGCAGAGAAACCGGGACGTGTTTTTTCCTGCCCGTGAATTATTGTTAAAATGAAAAATGAGTTTTCATAGACAGGGAAGTATCATTGCTGCAAGCAAGCATGAACAATGCTAAATCTCAGTCATGCATAAAACCCAAGAAGTGGCCAAAAAAGCTCTTTTCTGAGAAAGCTGGCAATCCCTGCTTTGGAAAGTTGTGCGGTCCCCCACGCCAACTTGCTTTACCAGCGCCGTCTGTGGAAATTGCTCTCCTTGAAACAACATCTACCTAATTTGTAGCAGTTAATAACTAACAGCATATAATTTTAAATCCCAGCCACACTTTGCTAGTTCCTGCTTTTAATTAAACCTGACTCGTAACAACGCGGGAAGCGGGGATTTGATAGGTGGGATGCTGGAGCCGCAGCCTGGGATGAGCAGGGCCGGCAGTGGCAGCACTACCCCATGTGTGCTGGCACGGGCACGCCTGGCAGGACCCCCATCCACTTCTCCTAAGTGTGCATATTAATTCAGAGCCCTGCCAATCAGGGCTGGTTACTATGGTAATGGTGGGCCTAAACTAATCAAGAGCCACTCACTCTTCTCTGCAAGTAGGGACGAAGAAGTCCGTGGTCAGAATCCAGCCGCAGAACTCCTCTGGACTGAGAGAGCAGGACAGACATGTGATAGGAAGTTAATGATGTATTAAAAATGAGTGTTAATTAGTGAGATTTTTAAAAATACAGCTTTTTCTTGGTATGCAAGTGGCAGGAGGGCTGGAGAGAGCAGCTACCACCTCCTTGCCTCTGCAACCCCTACATATCCTCCAACAAGACCAAGAAACAAAAAGTGCCGTACGTTACAGGTTATCCTGAATACACTGTGTAACAGCAGCTTGGACATCGCTCAGGTTTTAAAGCAGAGATTTTCACGGGCCTAGAGCAGATCTGTGCCCCTTGCTACAATTGGAACTCTGCACAGGGAATTCCAGAGCAGTTTGGAACGAAGGTCCACGCCCGCCAGAGCTCCGTCTCGCAGGAGGCGGCTGAGTTTTGGCGTGCAGAGTCTCGAGGCGATTCTCTATCTGCTCCTGAATTTGTTTTGCAATTGCAGTATGTCTCTGTCCATGTGCCATTAAGAGCTCAATTCTTTTATTCACCACCCCCTCCCTGCCTTTTTAAAACATCATGTTTATGCAAGTGGACAGGAGGCTCTCATATCTGGGTCACACGTTTGCTGGAGGTCATTGAAAGGCTACAAAATGGAGCATGCCTAATTCTGCTATTTCAGAAGTTTTCTCACATGTACTCAAGACAATTATGCCTATTAAACGAGTTCATTAAATTTCAGAAATCCTTTGAAATTCTGACATACCAAAAAAATCATGCTGAACTCCTTCCATTTCTTCCAACACCTCCTACAAAGGCTCTAATCCAAGGAGGTCCTGAGCACTGGAGCTTGGCTGCCTGTTATGTGGACAACATATTGAGCATGTCCTGTCTCCACCGCAAGCTGAATAAACCAAGTAAATAAAACAGAGCATCGAGGTCCATCGAGTGACCTTTTGCAGCATCCCTGTCATTGGCCCAAGCACCACTCTAGTGAGAATAGAGACATGGGATAAATGTCACCGATGCTCTTTAAGAGCTGTGGGGTTTGTGATGGGATGGGACATGCAAGGCTTTTCCAGGACTGAGAGTTGGCTCACTGCTGAGCTGCAAACATCAGGGATGCAGGAGGAAAGCAAAGGCAGACTCCATGTGTCCTTGTCAACTCCTCTGAGGCTGCTCCATGGGACATCCTGGTGTCTGCCCTCCCAAAGGAGCACAAGGACTATAGGACATTTCTTAGGCTAAGCAATACACGGACAAAGAGGGCACAACCAAGCCACGGAGCACAGGCAGAATCATTCTGTTGGGAAGCAGCTTTCCCCACAACGAAATGTTTTGACACTCAAAGGTACTGAGCTCAGTACCTGCCTCGTGAGTAAGCAGGAGCGGTGGGTGCCCGTTCATTGCAATCCCATCCCACAAACACACAGGTGCTAATACCACTTCCAAACACCTTCCTGTAAGGAGTACTGCCATACGTGAAAACAAAAGTTAATAGCTCATTGCTGCAATATAATTAATACACAGTCATCAGGTCAGGGGATTGGTTCAGAAAAAAAAAAAAAATAAAGTATTGCTTGTGATATCGTGCCTCTGAGCAGCGCTGTCACTTCTGGGGAACCCTGTACGTCCTCGGTAGCAATGTGGAAATTAAAATGTACACAAGCTGATAGCTCATTAGGAAGTGTTTCTTTTTGGTGGGTAAGAGAGCATTTATCATCGTTGGCCCACACCAACAATCAGCCTTGGACAGAAGCCACCTTTACTAATGAACGGGAGGGAGCAGTTTTTAATCTCTCCAAGATCTCTTATCAATTGATTTTGGATGATGTATGGTAGGTTTTGTTCTCCAAGAATTACCGTACTTCTCAAGTGCCAGCAGAGACCCAATATTTTTTTTGTATGGCTTTGTCTGCTGACACTAAGCCATTTGGTCTTGACACCACAGTGATCTCCCTGCAGACTCTCTGCTACTGTCTCACATTATCCTTGTCTCCCTGGACTTGCATTGTCCTGCCTTCCCTGTGATCACACTAACTCGCGTTCAAACAAACAAACAAGGAGAGGGGAATAAACCAGCTGATACTTTTGATTAATTTTAGCCACAAAATACTAAATCAGCTCTTGTGGTTGCTGATCCTGGGAGAATTAACTCACATCGAGTCACACCAAGCCCTTGAATGCTACCTGTGTACGAAGGTGGCCAGGAGGCATTATACTGGCATTGAAGAGAGAGCCTTTGATCAGGTCCTCAGGAAATACTTCCTCTGTCTTCCTGAAGTGTAACTTTAGACCAGGCTCTACCAAGGCCACTTCACTCTTTTGTGCATCCCCTTGAGCTCACTGGTGAATGAGCTGAAACCTGCTCTGTTTCCTTTACTAGGTGGCATGTGTCAAGGATCCCTGCGATCACTTTTATTACTTGCTTTATCTAAAGAGCTCCTTGCAGGAGCCCAGGGTGTCAGTGGTCACAAAAAGAGCATTGCTGGAATATAACAGTATTTTATACTCTCTGGGTCAGACAATTAACCGAGTCCCATTAGCAGCTCAAGTCTCAGGCCTGGATCCAAGCAATAGCAAAGAGGTGTCAGCTCTCCCTCAGGAAAGCGGGAAGACCAGTCTCCTCATGGAATTCACCCAGATGCTAGGGAAAAGCAGGAGAAAAGCTGAATAAAGAAATACACTTTGCTGTGTCTACCAGTCTTTTGAGACTGACTTCTGATGGAAAGCTGCTGGAAGCCTGGTGGCTCTGCCCCATGTGTTTAGAAGGACAGCAGTGGGTGCTTTAAGGGGTATGGGTGGATGGAAGATCTCTATAGCAGGTCTCCTAAACTCTTCCAAATTTCTTACATAGCTCCAACGAGGACTCAGTCTGGCTGCTTCATAAGTCAAAGAGAAATTCTGTGATCACTGCCATTGGGCAACTCCTTAGTCCTTGAACCTGCTCTACCAGCTTTCACAGGATCATCACTCAGGATTTGATCCCAGGTGAAAAGTAAAGAAGATGGGGAGAGCAGAAAAATGGGACAAGACAGAGAAATCAAACACTTTGTTTTGGTCAGCTGCTTCAGGATCTGAGCCTGGTATAGGAGGAAGGGCCACAGTGACCCTTCTAAGAGAAAATCCCTCAGCTCCTACAGATAAACACACACATGGAGTGGCTCTTCTGCTCCCGACACCTGGATTTCCACGTCTCCTCATTATAATCAGCTCTAGGAGAATAATGTCATATAAGATGTCAAAAACAAGAAGCAACATGCTAGAAGAGTGCCACTTGGAAATAAAGCCCTGCTTTTATTGGATAGCTGATCTGCTAAAAGCAGTTATTTGAAATATCTGCAGATCGTTGGGATCCGTGAATAATTGCTATCTGCACATCTCAAATTCTTTACAGTTTTGCTGTTACATAGCTGTGCATGTCTATAAATAGTAGAGCAATGTCGCTCACTGCATAATACAGTCTCTGTGTTTTTACAACTCATCATGAACTTCTATGTAATTTATTTTTTATTGAAGAATTCCAATTAATGGCTTCCTGGTGATTTTAAAGCCTCAAATTATCAGTCTCTGAAAACAAAGCAGAGAACATAATTATCATAAACCGAGAATTTTTCATTTTGAAGCTTATCTGTTTGTGCTAAGTATCTTGTCTGTAAGTAATTAGTGCCTTTATTTTTTTCAGTAAAAATAATGACCATTCTATGCTGCACATCCAAATTTCGTTAACTGCTAGATGTACTGTATACATTATATTTGAAAATGCACCACCTTGGACCAGCTTTAAAGTATTTCATCAAATGATAATGGCAACAACAAAATGCATCTGTTTTTCGGAATAAATTATGTGACATATTAAAAAAAAAAAAAAGCTATTATATCTTTTTCTCTTCTAAGAGTAAAAGCCTTTCAAAAATACGCACTTATTTATTACCATGGTGGCATAGGCTGATGGTTAGCTGCTTTTAGGCTATTTATAATTCCCAACTGCTGATAAGAACTGATCAGATGATCGTATAGATATATAGAGCACCCTTTACATGGATATCTGTCCTTGCTTAGCATGTGCAGGAGCAAACCAAACCAGGACTGCAAGCTGAGTTAGGTAACAGGAGGAATCTGCAGCATCCTCTCACAAGTGGTCCTTGAAAGGATGAAATTTAAACACAACACATGGTACAGTGAGATCCTGCTCCTGAGCTGTACCTGGGGAACTGGAGCGGATGAAGAGTGTGAGTATCTACAGTCCCTCTAGTGCCAAGAGCAGATTTGTGCCACTGATGTTTTCATGACACACAGAATTTTACTGGTGTTTCCTGTACAGTCTCCCTTGGATGCTCAGTGTTTGCAGGTGGGATGACTTTTCCCAGCTCCAGGTAAATCAGTTTATAACCCACAAGGCCTTGTCCTGCCTGCCATCACTTAGTTGTTGCACAGCCCCCCATTAGATTTGGGCAGTTCCTGTACTATACAGGCCACCCAGAGACATCAAGAGTCCCCCACAGCAAGGGTGGAGGGGAGACCTTGGCACAGATCTCTGGTCCCACATTTGCTCTGCACATCCAGAGCATCCCCTAAACATCCACAGAGGAGGGTGGGGACCAAGCCTGAAATGAGAACGAGCATGCCATGTACCAGCCTTCCTCAAAATCACCACGAGCCTAACACACAGAGCCCTGCTTTATTTCCCTGTCTTGTACTGTAATGCCTTTTCTATTGTGGCATCAAGCAAAGGAATCACATAGTCAATAATCCAGTAGTAATGCATGTTGGATAAAGCGAGGAGGAATGAATTAGGAAGGCAATGAGGATACTTCCCTACAAGAATATGTTCCCGGTGATCTGTGGACTCTCCTCAAGTGCAAGCTCATTTCCAGGTTCCCCCAGACTGTTAATCAAATAACACTTCCAGCCTAAGACAGGCTGGTCTCTACCAGACACTGCAACCTCTCCAATGACTGCAAGCAGGTATGAAGCAGCTCCCTGCTTTCACTTTTATAAGGAATCCTGCTGATTGCAGTAGAAAATTGCTAAAGACAGTGAATTTGAAAATTAA